AAAAAAAAAGAAAGGTAGTTAATAAGTTACTGAGTCCAACAGATCACATTGATACTTCTTCTACCGTATCACATGATCTCAATAAAGAATTAAGTTTCTTTGTTTTGGTCCTTTTGACATCTCTTTAAACATACCACTAGGGCAACAATAAAACTGCCAAGAAGGCAAAAGCATATTTACTTGACCAATTTAAGAGTGAACAGAAATCCAGTATTAGGAGTTCTCCAACAAAGACAGCAAAGAGAAAAATGGAAAGAAACAATCTAGTAATGGATCAAAAAAGAAAGTTCCACAGGATCCTTAGAGTGGATTGTGAGGGTTCTTACCCCAACGCTGTTTATTTTAAATCGAATTTCTTTTTCTTAGAATCTCTGTGAAAAAGTTCATTATTTCCATATACATATGAACTGAGGCAAAGGGCAGTCACATGACTTGTTTGAAATTAAACAAGTCAATGACTGAACTGTAAACAGAACCTAGGATACCCAACTGCTAGTCTGCTGCTCTAACTATTGGACTATGCTCCCTGCTATGTAATAGGACTGTTTCCTTGAATGACAAATTCTTCATTCACCATCAGCTTATCAGCCAGAGGCTTCATCATTAGTTTTGCTATTCTTGCATTCATGGCATTATTCTAAGAATATGAGATTTCCATGATAAAAAATATAAAGACCACTGCTTATTATACCATACCAAATCTGAAAATTCCAACTGCCCTGGCAAGGATACTTCACCAAGCCTGCATTTAATGGCACATTTATAGGTATAACTGCCTTTTTAAAAAAAAAAAAAAATTATTTATTCATTTATTTGAGAGAGAGAGAGAATGCAAGCAAGGTGGGGAGGGGCAGAGTGAGTCCTAAGCAGACTGCGAGCTGGGCGCAGAGCCCAACATGGGGCTCGATCCCAAGACCCTGAGATCATGAGCTGAGCCGAAGCCAAGAGTCAGACACTTAACCGACTGCACCACCCAGGCACCCCAATTAACATCTATTTTGGGTTGGTCAGTGAACTAGAGAAAATGAGTTTTGTTCTTACAGACCCCAATATCAGCGCACTTAAAATCTTACATTAGAGCATTCTATGGTGTCATTAGTCAACAAAATTCACATACATCCCCTGCATGTAAAAGTCCAAGAGGCAGCGGGTTGTTAAAGGCACATGGAGCATCTGTGATGCTAGAAAGCAGACTAAGCTAAAAATGACATGCTCTTATATTCTATGCTAAATCTATAAAAGAAAATTTACCGGGTAAGCAAAGTAAATATCTGAAAAGAGGTATGCAGTTGCTTGTCTTTGAGAAGCACTTTGTGTTTCTTTGGCACAGATCACGGCGGCAGTAGTAGCAGCAGCCCTGCCCTTGGTGCTGATTTCTTACCACTCTGAACGCCTCCTCTGAGCCAGAATACACTGGCTGTTGCTGATCATGCTGTGAGACACCTGCACTGGCTACTAGGCTTGTCATGACGCACAAAACCCTACCATCTTCAGCTTGACATTGTGCAAGTTATAATTACTCATCCAAATGAACATGTCAGAGCAGCAGCAGCAGACCTCTCATCAGAGCAAAAGAAAAATACATCAAAACATTATCAACGCAGCAGGAAGACAGGGACCATAAGGAAAATTACCCATTTTTAATATGGATGCCACAAAGCCATGTCTATTATTTCACAAAAAGAAAGGAAAATAAAGATCTTCCAAGTCTGAAGTCCAGAAACACTGACTCCAAAGAGAAAATGTACAAAACAAAAACAGACAAGGATTATTTTTTTAATCACTTATCTGGAACCTATGTACAATCTCTTAAATATAAGTCTGCTGTTAGACTACATTTATTTTGCTTAAGAACCACAACTGTTTAAAAATTAAGAAAAAATAACTCTCACAAGCAGAATTATTTCCAACAAATCAATGAAAAAAGATCACAGACAGCAAAGTAGTCTGATATTGCTTACTTTTAAAACATAAACTAATATTGCCAATACTCTTATCACATCTAAAAGACTCGAGAGCCCAAACCACTGGTATTATCACCAAAATGCTTATGATACTGCTAGACTCTAAAATAATAAGTAAATATTTTGAAAAATTTCTAAATTTTAATAGCAAGTATAAAAGAAAAACTGAAATCACCCCCAGATCTAACCAAATGAAGACACATCCAAATTCTACGAGCATATATAAAATATGCAAGTGTAAATAAGATTCCTATCTCCTACTTAAATATGAAGAAAAACCATACTAACTTTTAGGATGATAGGAAACTATCTTTTCAGAACAAGATATGAAAGATTTTCTCATGCAAGACACAAAAAGCAGAAATCACAAGGACAAGACTGATAAATGGGACAACACTGAAAGTTAAACTTCTAACTGACAAAATAGGTTACATACAAAGGTTAAAAGTACACCACAGAGAGAAGATACATCCCATATAACCAACCATTGGTATCCAAATTAAAAAGGAATGCTTACAATAAAAGAAAAAAATTTAAATAAGCAAAGATTATAAACAATAAAAACGATTTCAATTCTTGTTAAGAATTAAGGTCAGGCTAAGTAAAACCTGGAAAGGATTTGGAGAAGTAGATATTACATGCATTGCTGGGTAGGGGTATAAATTTATACAACCAATTTGAGAAGGCAATTTGGCAATATTTAGTAATCTCGAAGAAGTACATTCCCTTCAATCCAACATTTTCTCTCGGCATAAGCCACACTAAGAGTCTCATATGTGTACAAGGAAATGTAAGGATGTTCACTAGAACACAACTTAAGAAATTGTGAACAACCTTATCAGTAGTGCAACGAATAAATTAACTGATGGATTCATATAATGGAACTATTTAAAGCATTTAAGGTACTAAACATGCAAAGATCATGGGTAAATCTCAGAAACAATGCTGGATAAAAAAATTCAGACAGCCAATACTATAGAATATGGCATGAACAAATGTAGCAAGAAATATGCATGGATAGCACATGCATCAATTTCAGGGAGGTGGTTACCGCCAGAGAGAAGGAAAGAAAGGGAAAAGAGGAATAAGGTCTTAGTTGTTCCTAGAACATTTTATTCCTGAGAGAGAGACAGAAATAAGAGCTAGAAATGAAACGAATGTGACAAAAAATTAACATCTGTCAAATCTGAGTTGTGGATAAAAAGGTATCCAAATTTTTATCTGTGCTTTTATTAAGGATCTTAGTATATTCTTTAATTAAAAAAAGATTATAACATTCCAGTTACTACTACTTCGTTCTGTTTTCTTGGAGCTAGTACAAAACAGAAAACTTGCTGTATGACCTAACTAAATCTAAAACTCATCCCATGCTTAAATATGCAAGGCACTGAGCTGGTGTTAAATAGGGATAGAAAATTTGAAAGAAATTACCCGCAAAGATTTTCCAGCGTGTTGAAATCACAAAATAATTTTGCTAAATGATAGGATAAGGTACTAAGTGCTAAACAGTCTTTTTATGAAGATGCAAACTTTTTCACAGATTTAAGACTGGGAAAAACTTGTATGGTTATCTACATTAAAAACACTACAAATTCATCAAAAATATAGTCTTCGACTTGGGATTTTGATACATATTAAAATGTAATCTAGAGACAGCATATCTGGAAAGAATACAATCCAGGTACAGTGTTATCTCATAATCTCACATAAAATATAAAGTTTACAGAGCCAAGTAGGAAATTTATATTTAAAAAAGAGGAAAATATTTTAAAAAGAGGAAAGCCAAATAGAAAATGTATATTTAAAAAAGAGGAAAAGTTTCTTTTTTAAAATAAAAAATGAGCACAGTGTTTCTTAGGTATTTATAACCTATATCAGAATACCAAAAGCAAATTACAGGGTTCTTCCTCTATTTTATTTCGCTATGTTTTCTCAGTTTCCACTGAAAGGAGGGACTGTTGTTTTTAGAGGAAAAAAATATGAAAAATAGTTTTTAATATATATGCACAATTAAAATGACATCTGAATCTACACAACACTATTTAAATCCTATTAGGTGTTTTTAAAAACTAACTTCATATACAATTACTGTATGTATATACTTAAAAAATTAGGCATAAATTTTCCCTTGACCCCATCAAAATTTCATAATAAAAATACAGGTAGTCTCTAGAGAGTATCTGTAAAATGTCAGTAGGTATTCTTTTCCCCCTCTTTGGATGAGAACAGAAATGTTCTCTCCATTTTGCTACCAACTGCCACAATTTACTTGGTGAAAGAAGGACCATGCCGGTCATCCTTAGATTGTTCTCGGAATCTAACCACCACTCTGTCAGATCTTCAAAAAATCACACATATGTAATGTTGATGTTCGTACTATTGATAACCTTACATCTACATAATGTTACCATTTACAGTGTACTTCTAATTTCACCTTCTTGTTAGACATCAACTTTTGAGAAACTAAAATGACAGAGGCAGGGGAAAGAATCTCTTATATTCTTTACACAAGTACGAATGTCCCAAAGCCCATACAAAAATGTAGTCTATGCTGAAGGATGAATTATGCACAACCACTTTAAAACAATAAAAACTGAGAGGAAATGATTTGTATTTTCAGCCATTACTCATTCTTCTCTGAAAAATATTCTCTGATATTATGACATCAATATTAACCTTTAGCAATCTAAAAAATTCACCCAACTTTCCACTTACTGTTCACTGCTTTATAGAGTTCTTTACGATTTAATTTCAAAGGAAAATTTCTGTCAATAGACCTTCATATTTATCTAATATGAGGCATAAACATCTAAAGACTGGTTGGTGTGCTTATGTGGGAGGGGAGGGAGAAAGTGGACATTAACTACTAGGAAATATGGGGGAAAAAAAGCACTCTGAAATTTCTGTTTATAAATAAATGTTTACAACAACAACAACAAAATCGCTTTAAACCTATAATGGCTATATTGGCTATAATCTATAACCTATTCTCATAATAGAACATGCTTTATAGCTACTTAAAATAAATTTAAGAACTTACCTGTGGTGTCCAGGAAACAGAAAATGAAACAGGAAAATCCACAAAACAATCTGGTGATTCTGCAGGGTACTATGAAAAAGCATAAAATTAGGTCATTTTTGCTTCTGTGTGACAATTTCACATGAAGTATTTTAGAAAACTGAATAGGAAAAGTTTTATTATAAATGCACATGTATTATATATAAATATTTTGATTCTACTATTATAGAAAATGTCAGCTAAATAATAGTCAACTTATGCTCAAGAGGTACAAAGTTTGGTGATTTGGGGTGCCAAAGCAATAGGTTTTGAGTAAAGAATAATGAATTAATTCAGTCAGTGCCAGGTTAGCTGCTAATTGTAAATTGAGGGGTGAACCACACAGGATCTCAGTTTCTTTATCTTTAAAATGAGAGATCAAACTGGTATTTAATTGATATTTAATTTCCTTTCAACATAAAATTTAATCTCCATCTCCGTCACTATTTAAAAAGGCAGTATCTGTTAAAAGAACCAAGAAGTGTACAAAAAAGTATAAATCAATTAAAAGAAGTATTTTCCACAATAAAGCAATTACACTTAGCAAGAATATAATAAATAAAAAGAAACAATGAAATGCCTTCTGGTTATTAAAGAAAAATAAAAGTAATAGTTTTAAGAAAAACCTTTTCATTGTCGATAAAAAGAAAATTAATTCAATAGCTTCATACAAAAAGTGACAGTCACTAAGGACAAATTAGGTGTCTAAGTTAAGAAAGACAAAAGGCAGTTTTTCTTAAAATCAATTTTGTTATTAGAGAATTATACCACATGACTTCTGTAAAATCCAATTCTGGATTCTTGAAAGTCAGATGTAATTAAAGAATACTCATTTCTTTTCATTAAAAAGCAAAATTTACTAAAAGAAAATTAGTTTTGGGAAAACTCCTAGCTCTCATTTGACAAAATGTTTAAAATAAGTTTTAAACTTTCTTCAGCCTCTTCTTTTTCACTACTTTGCTGAATAAGCAAATGAGTTCCAAAAATTATCACTATAGTATTTAGCAAACATCAGCCCATCTGAAGTCAATGTTTTGAAAAGAAATAACATTTATAGTAAGTGGTCCGCTAAAAAGAAATTTTTCAACCTATACTCTGATGGTTATCTGGCTATGCAGAACTTGTAACACAAAGGCAAATATACAGGAAATTATATAAAAATATAATAAGGCTCTAATTTGAAGAAAAAGAAAAAAGGAAAAGATCAGGCTGAGATTTAGGAGGAAGCTCTATCTATTACAATTCAATATATCAGATGATGTACTTCAGAGACTTCTTCAGCCAAAGCTGAAAAAGTCCTGGTCTACTTCTTTTTTAAAGAAAAGATTGTCTCAAAATAAGTGCAGACAGAGACCTTAACTTTCTCTGGTTTCCAGTTCTGTTAACTTGTGTGATCTTGGACAAGTCATTTCATTTCACTGGCTGTTTGATATATAAAATTGATGGAACTCAATTAAACGTGTTACCAAGTCTTTCCCCTCTAACATGCTAAGATTCTATAAAAATTATAATGCACACTTGAAACCTCCATGGTCAAAAATGGAGTATTTACTTCATTTTGAGTTGTCTTTTTTTTTTTAATCTCCTACTCATGTTGACAATGAACAATATCAACTTAAATTATCAATCTAGGTAAGAATATGAAGTTAATGTTTACTGTATTTAGATGAACCAAAGTAAAATACCTGTGACTTTGGAAGTCATTTAGTACATACAGCACATTATTTTAAAAGAGAATATGATCTCCTACATTAAAATAGGGCTCAATATAGTGAATAGTACATATATACTGTTAGAGAGACCTACAAAGAGTTAAACAAAAAAGCAGATTATAACAAACTTTATGATTCCATTTATATGAGTCACATAATTGGAGATGATGACATCTTCAAATATATTTTATGTGTAATTATACAGACATACAAGTGTATATATATAATAAATTAGATTGATCTATATAGGTGGCTTTACTGTATATCTATTGTGAGTTAAATGCAAATATATATGTTAATTATATTCATGTTCAAGGTCAATCTTGTTTATACCATAAACTTTACATAACTGTATAGATCCTAAAAAACAAACTGATATACTTCTGGATGATTTAACATGAATTATGAAGGAGCATCCTAGATATTTCAGAATCATTTGTATTGTAAAACTACAACATAGATAACTAAATGAAATACTGTAAAATAACTATCAAAATTCAGGTGGTTTTCAAGAGTAAGTTGTATAGGTATATAAAAACCAGAGACTAATTGCCAAGTTTTACTTAGGCAGTCTAATTGACAACAATGAAAGCTCCACATAAAGGAATATTAATTGAAAAATAAGTAATGCTTATTTTTAATGAACATACAGTTTTTTTCAAATCTCACTGGAAAGAACCCATCAAATAAATAACTATAAAAGAATACAATTATTAAATATTAAGTAAATATTTTTATCATATATATACATACACACACACACACACACATATATATATGGTATTTTTTAGATTGTATAGCATATTGTTCTAAGGAAAATTTTAACCCAATCTCTTCTGCGATTAGACCATCTAAGCAGTAAGGCTTTCTTGAAGTAAACACATACAAACTGTAGCAAATCACAAAAATGGCCAGCAGACACACAGTGCCCAGCTTCTGAAACACATCTGCATTTTTCAAATAGTTCTGATCTTGGCCCAAAGCTGAAGAAGCCCTGGTCTGCTTCTTTTTTAAAGAAAAGGTAATAGTTCCATCCCATAGTTCAGCATGTATTGTAAATATTACATAGAAATAAACCTATAAAAATGACAAAATTCAACTATTTCCCTTATATTTCTTTTTGACTTATACATTCACTTTTAATAAAGAGTGTTTAATCAAAATTGGTATTTTTTTCTTTGAGGGCTGAACACAGTGAGGGGGAACGGCAGAACTGAGAGAACAGGTGTTCAAGGGGAAAAAAATGAAACAAATGTGTTCCTTTACTATGTATCAAAAAATATCAAAGAAATAAAGGTTTGTATATTTATAAAAATAAGTCTGCATTAAGGTTTAAAAAAATCAGCTTGACTTCTAAAATTGTTTTGTGATTTTGCACTACATATTCTTAACATATAGCTTCAGCTATCACTGTTTTTAACTAACAATCCTAGACCCAAATATTCCTAAAGAAATAAATTACCACATCTAAAATACAACTTTGGTCTATGAAAACTGAACTAAATGGACAATTAAAGACTCTAATAAATGATACCAACAGAAGATTCATTCATTTCCACTCTTTTCTTTTTTGATACACTTTTTTTTTCTTAATTCCTTCCAAATTTAAATAAAGCCTTCTCTTCTCTCTTGCCAGGGAATCCATAATAGTGCTTCACAGCTATCAATGCTACAAACACTTGAAAACATTCTTCACAGAAATATTAAGTGTCACCTTATCTACCCTGAAAAGGTATAAGAAAAAGTAAAAAGGATGGGCCATACTAGCAGCTACATCCTTCCTCCTGATACTACCACTAATGTCATTAACTAGAATTAATAATAAAATCTTGTAGTTCTTGACAGAATCTCCTTAGTAAAAGCTTGTAAATATAAGGCTATTAAAAAAACCACCACCACCACCCAGAGTCAGGACAGGATGCATTTAAAATTTTTCATTTTGGTCTTCACAACAGCAAAGCAATTTTTATCAATGTACAAAGTACAAAATATAAGCAATTAAAACTTTGAAGTAACTGACAGAACCCTTGTGATCTTTGGAAGAATAAAGGAAGATTTCTCCCTGATCTTAAGGGAAGGAAAAAAAGCTCACCTTTAAAATTTAAAAAATAAAAATTTTTTCATTTTGACAAAAATCTCCATGTAACTTCTTTTACAAATAAGATTTCTATCCCACTAATATTTTCAACACTTACCACACATGAATCTTAAAACTATACCTGAATATTCTGTGAGAAAAAAGAGAATGAGTCATTTCTCAACTTGTCTGATAAAGAGGCACTATAAGATACCAACTTTTCTGTGTCACCCAGTTCAGCTTTATATATTAATTTTCTCTCATGCAAAGCTTAAACGCCAGACACATTTTTAAAACGGACAAACACAACTGATCTTTTCAACACTACAATCTTCTGAAACAGAGTTGATGACTCCTAGGAACAATAAAAAAAAGTTAAATGTCCTAGTTTTCTCAAGTTCTAATGTGTCCCTAGTGATTACTAAATAAGTGATTAATATGCTGAACTTGCTTATTCTACTTATTTCTCAAACTTCACAATCTAGAACTAAAACATAAAGAAAAAACAGCTATGTTTTGTGCCAATAAAATAAGTAATTATAGATCACTAGCCTGTAAAGAGTTTATAAATGGAGGCATAACCTTTGCAAATTCTTAAAATACAGAAGTAAAATTTCAGCCAAAACAAGGAATAAAAAGGTATACATATGGATGTGTTTGGCGAGTGGGTTGGTGCTCAGAAATAAGAACTACAAATGTAATTCATTGTAAGAGTTGAAGACAAGAGACTTAAGTGAAACTTTACTTGGGATAACGGAAACTTTCAAATTTTTTCTTTGTTCAAGGTACTTTGAGACTGCCCAATCTTATTTGTAATGTTTCTTTATTATGAAGTCTGTATTTTGAGCAAATTTGCAGTAAAAGAGCAACATAAAATTATGTTTAGGCTTTTGGAAACCTAGTGGGTAAATTTTTTGAGCTTTCCAAAATAAATTTTTTAAAGTACCAGATACCTTTTTAGAAGCTACTACCCTACATTGAAAACATTCAGAGTTCATTTCACAAAGTATTTCCTGACCATAATTAACAGTTTAATGAAGCACATACCTTTGCCTTCAACTTGAGGGTAATTAGATGCTTTCTACCAGAAGCATCTTCAGCTTTTAACTTGATGGTACTGAGACAAGTATCCACATATACAAGTCTGGTGAATAGAAGGAAATAAATGATCATACTAGGGAGGGCAAAGGTGGGCGGAGGGGAAGTTGGAGGATGGTAGGATTCAAAATGAAAATATTTGCTGTATTCCTATGAATCCATTACAAAAATTAATCAGAGGAATTTCTGCATGCCAGCCCTTTATGCAGCTATAGATTAACTGCCGTTAATACACCAGCCTGGTGCTTAATGCAGTCATAGATCTCTGGATTATTTACAATGTGTGTCAAGGCTCATGCTGTGGTCAGTGAGCACTATGTTTCGGTTTTCCATCACTGGAACCTTTGGCACACACAGCATGTTGCTGTCAGCCTCTACTTATGTACACATTAAACTTCCTGTCAAACTCTTTGATCCATTTCTGTAGTTTCATACAGTATGAGACTTTTATGCTTCCTTTATTTGTTTTTCTCTTCAATGAACTTCTCCTTTATTGTCAATAATGTTAGTGTACAAAAGTCTGGCTGATATTAATTCATATACTCAACTGATCCTCCAAGGAAAATGTTATATATAAGCACAGGTACAGTCTAATCTGCTAACAATAAATTTTCTTTCCATGCAATATATAGCTTCTGACATTTAACCTGGACACGTATTCAAGATGACTAATATTTTAAACCTATAGCACAGCACAACTGTTTTTGGCTTTAAGTTGCTCTAAATGCATGAATTTTCTACAACGGAAACCAATACCCTTTGAAATATATCATTTTGTAAAAATATGGTCCCCTGAGTAGTATAAGCTACTGCCAAAAAGGTTCAAATTTAGCAGTATATTTACTAGCGAACTGGGCATGTGGATATTTTTTGACATTTTTACAATACTATTCTCTTGTAAAGATAAAAAGTAGCCTAAGAGTATTGCACAACTTATCACCCAGACTGACGGTGAGACCCATTAGAGTTCAGAACTAACATTAGCTTCCTAACCTAGAAAACATTTCTTTTAACATTACTATATGCCATTTAGTCACTAGCCAGATATAATGGTAAAATGGGTCAATTTCAAGAAATGCTGGGCAATAGCTATGGAACACTGCTGTAATGAAAAAGAGATCTAAATCTGAAGAAGATATAGATCTTCAATAGTAGAATCAAAAAGTAAAACAAAACAATCTTTTTTTTTTTAAGATTTATTTATTTATTTGAGAGCAAGAGAGAGAGTACAAGCAGGGGGAGAGGCAGAGGGAGAGGGAGAAGCAGGCTCCCTGCTAAGCTGGGAGCCCGATGAGGGGCTCAATCCCAGGACCTGGAGATCATGACCTGAGCCAGAGGCAGATGCTTAACCATCTGAGCCACCCAGGCACCCAAAACAAAACAATCTTTATCAAGAGAAGAAATTTGTATCAGAAACTATGAAAAACCTAGAGTCTTAGAAAACAAATGAAAGTAAAATTATTCTAGAAAAAAACATTTACATTAAAATATCAATGACTTTATATAATTATTTTCTTACAGCTATATGTGTAAACATCTCAAATCCCTCTTCCCCCAAAAATTTAAAACATGAGACTTTATCACATGTGTCATCACTAAGACTCTAAGTTTCATATTTATGGGCATCTGACTCTGAAAACATTGACAGTTCAGATTCAAGATGTTGAGATGAGCCCATGCATTTATATCCTCAAATCACCAAAACAAAAAACAAAGCAATTTTTTTAAAAGTTATAAACAAACCCACAGCTAACAAAAAGAACAAGGAATTAACATCAACAGAAGAAATTTCCAACAGATACTATAAAAATGAAAAGTGGTTAGAAAAGCACTGGCTGACAAAACAGAAAAGAGGAAGAAGGAAGGCTCCAGGAGGAAGATACTGGCCAAAAAAGAAAAGTATGTAGAATGTGTAGACTAGAGGGTATGACCTATATACAAGACACAATTAAGAAAAAAAAGAAAAGAAAGACACCAAAAGGGATGAAGGAATTTTAAACTAAGTTATAAACAATAAAGCTATGACGAAAACTGTAATTGCTCTACCATTAGCTTTTCAGTGAAAAGTATTTATGTAGTCATTAAAAATTTAACGGCTTACTAATTACAATTTTTAGAATCCAGCAATAGACAAAAGCTAAAAGACTTAATTATAGCTACAGAAACTAATGTAAATATATTTGACCATGGTAATTTAAAAAGTAGAGATGACAAAAATTGAGAGAAGGGAAAAGATATGAGGAAGGAAGATTAGGAACACTAAAATATGTAATTGCTAATTTGAGAGTAAGAGGTAACATCTTTAATTGAAGGGACATGAAGGAAGTTTACACAATTTTAAAGCAAATAGAAGAACAGTGAAGAAGGGAGAGAAAAGGTGGCATATGAGCCAAATCCTTTTTTATTATAGTAGCTAATCAGTATGGAATTTCTAAAACTGATAAATCAAGTTACATTGAAAAAGGAATATTATTTAGAAATATGGAAGTGATAAACATGAACATTTCAGAGTGTCTGTCTAAAATCAGAGCAGGGATACGAAATGGTGTGAAAAAAGACTGCTGCTCTTCACTGTTTGCCCTAAGTAGTTCACAATCATGATAAATATGCACACAGAAAGCGAGAAGGGGTGGTGAGAGAGAAGGAACGACTAAATCACCACCTAATACTTTTCATACTTTACACTGCTGCTCAGCACCAAATTTTTAGAAATTATTGGACATCTATAAAATAAGATAGAAATAAACAAAAGTGGGGCGCCTGGGTGGCTCAGTTGGTTAAGCGACTGCCTTCGGCTCAGGTCATGATGCCAGGGTCCTGGGATCGAGCCCCGCATCGGGCTCCCTGCTCAGCGGGAAGCCTGCTTCTCCCTCTCCCACTCCCCCTGCTTGTGTTCCCTCTCTCTCTGTCTCTCTCTCTCTCTGTCAATTAAATAAATAAAATCTTTAAAAAAAAAAAAGAAAAGAAACAAAAGTTCTAGTCTTTCTTTACACAATCACACAAACAAAAAAATCATCTTCCCACGAAGTTTAAGACAGAGATAATACCTTAGAGATAAACAATGTCATGCACAAAATATGGCCTTGCAGTCAAAATGATCATAATGTTAATTTTGCTGAACTTTAAGAATTCAAATAAAGTAGCAAAAAATTTTTAATTATAGGTTAATCTCAACATAGTTGTTTAAAATTAAACATTTTACCCATGCTGACTCCCTGTCTACCTTATAGGACAGGAAGAGGCGACAGGAAGAAACCTTATTGTATTTATTAACACTTCGGTACATCTGACCTAGACTGTAAAACATCCTCTGCTATCTATTCTCACCTCCTTCCTTTTGGTAATAGGATCCCTGCCTCCACATTACCCCTAACTAAACCAAATTTCAGGGTACATTCCACTCAGCTAACAATCCTTCCAGGGTGTCAGGATATCACCAAATCTTAGTCAATGAACTGTAAGCAGTTCAGGTATGTGCATCTCTTGAATCATTTATAACAAACCTGTGCTTTCTTCCCGTACCCCTCATTTTCCCTACCTACAGACTAGAACTTAGGCCATTATGAGCTAGCAAAAACCATGCAGACAGGCACAATACTCTTAGAGCAGCTCTGACCAACAGAACCTTCTGCAATGATGGAGGTGGTTTCTACCTGCACTGTCCAAAACAGTAACCACAGCCACTTGTGGCTATTAAGAATTTAAAATACAGCCGGTATGGACACTGAATTTTTAATGCAATTTAAATATAAATATAGATGTCAATAGCCACATATGGCTAATAACTATGTATTTAACAATGAAGCCAGGGTAGATGGTTGAGAAACAAAAGAAACTTGGGTTCTTAGAGGACCTTGTGGAACAGAGCTACCAACTCACTCTTGGCCATCTCCCTACCTCTCAACTGTTAAATGAGAGATGAATAAAATTCTATCTTATTTGGAACACTGAGAATTTAGGGTTCTCTTTGTTAATGGCAGCTTAGCTTGTACCCTTATTAATATAATGTATTTCTATCCACAATAGGAAAGACTATCTTGGTGTTTGATCGATGGAAGAGATGATTAAAGGAGAGGAAAAAGTGATAAAATCCTATAAGTAATATCAAAATCAATTTTTCTGAAAAAAGTGTATTTCAAATGTTCTGCTTTATTGTAAAGTTGGGGATCTCAATTTAGACAATATGGAATAAACAGTTTCGCTCATTTAAATAAAAGTTCATATAAATAATAAATTTAGGAAAATCACTGAAAAGCTCAAATTTTTGAAAAGTTATGAAATCACATTTAAAATTTATACTTAGAAGTTTTGGTGTTATTTGGCATATTCTAAAATTGACTAAGAAAATATAAAAACAAAAAATTTAAAGAATATATATTTTTGGCACTTTGTATTTATCATTTGCTGCATTTCTTTGTAAGTTACTGCTTACAATAAAATGGCACTACGCTTGAGTTAAATTTCTTAAAACATTTGAAAAAGGATACTAATACTTAAGCTTCATAGAGGTTTCCGCTGTTTTTGTTAAAAGCTGAATGGTATCAGTACAGAGAGACAAAACAAATTTGCTTTCTCTTGAAATACAGTACTTATTTTGACCAACAGCTTAAGTTACAGAGTTTTTCTTTAAACACCTAGATGCATATATGTAGCAATAAGCTCAAAAGGCAGACTAAAGACCTTCATGGTTTTTTGTTTTTTTAAAGATTTTTATTTATTTATTTGACAGAGAGAGACACAGGAAGAGAGGGAACACAAGCAACGGGGGTGGGAGAGGGAGAAGCAGGCTTCCCGCTAAGCAGGGAGCCCGATGCGGGGCTCGATCCCAGGACTCTAGGACCATGACCTGAGCCGAAGGCAGACGCCTAACGACTGAGCCACCCAGGTGCTCTAAGACCTTCATCAATTCCATCTTTACCACCACCCTCAGGTTTAAGCAGTAACTACTTCAAAAAAAAAAACTCCCTAATTGGTGTCCTTTCGTGACTAAATTAATCTTCCTAAGTACTTTTTATTTTTTTAAATATTTATTTATTTTAGACAGAG